AAAAAAAAAAAAAAAAGACCAATAGAAAGGGTAGGCTCTTCAGTTTTAGAGATTCAGCGAATAATGCCAGTCACTGCATGTGAGATAATTTCTAAGAAACGCCATATTATCACATAGAGTTCTGTTGGCGGTAGCTTAATGGTAGCATCATCATTGCTGATTTGGATGGCCAGTATACTGCAGAGAATTGCCCCATAAGCAGCTGATAACAGGCAACATGTCATCAGCAAGGCTCTACTCGAAGGCAATTCTTGTATAGTGAGAGTGACATATATCTGAAAAATTAATTGTGGGACAGAAGAAACAAAAGCCTAAACCACTGTCATGCATTTAAATGCATTGTCCTGCCTTAAAATATACTGCATTGAGTAAACAGTCTTCCTTTCCAGTATCTTGTTTCTCTCTGGGTTGCTAACTTGACTCTCTTCTGCCTTCAGTGTAAGATATTTCAATAATTTCACCATATAGTGGTCTGCAGACACCTCGCTATAGGTCCTAAAAGAAGAGTGTGCCAAAAAAGTAACACAACCTTATTTCTCAAGTCTTTGTTGAAAAAAATCAGGGTAATTTGATCAAAAATTGCCCCCATAATAATAAAGCTGATGGTAAATGACATCCAGAATATGTCATTACCTTTCTGATAAATAACAAACATATACAAAGTGGAGGCCACCTCACCACGGTAGAAAAGAGTTGACAAGAAGATGCCGAAAGGAAAGCTTAGATGGGATCTGCGGCCAAGGACAATTTCTACTTCTGAAGATGAAATTCCTCCTGTACTTTCTTCATCAGTCTCTTCTAAAGGTGTCTTCATTCTCAGGGTTCTGCTAATTCAAACTCTTCTTGTCAGTGAATCCAGCAGAATTCAGTATACAATCCAAAAAGAAGAGAATGAGAGTCCATATAATTCGCTGTTCCGTCCAGAAAATGCACACTCCAGCCCCTGCCAAGGGATAGTGCCAGGCAGTACCCACCACAGTGGGAGGTTGAACTGTCATGAGAATAACTGCCAGTTCGCCAGTTGCCCGGCATGAGAGCTCGAACTATGGCAACAAAACCGCCAGCTCAGAAAGCGACTCGGCAAAGCTTTTAACTAATCCTCAAACCTTACTAAACATAGGGTAACTCACGCTAGAGAAAAATCTTGGAAATGTGAAGAATTTGGTAAAGCCTTTATCCAGTCCTCAACTCCTACAAAACATAATTCATACTGAACAGAGACCTTATAACTGTAAAGAATGTGGCGGTGCTTTTAACCAGTCCTCAAACCTTATTGAGCCTTATTGAACAAAATGATTCATACAGGAGAGAAACTACAAATGTGAAGAACGTGACAAAGCCTTTAACCAGTCCTCGATTCTTACTACACGTAAGAAAATTCACACTGGGGCCGGGCGCGGTGGCTCAAGCCTGTAATCCCAGCACTTTGGGAGGCCGAGGCGGGTGGATCACGAGGTCAAGAGATCGAGACCATCCTGGTCAACATGGTGAAA